TCCTACGCGCGTACACACACACACACGTGTACACACACGTGTACACACACGTGCACACACACGTGTACACACACGTGTACACACACACACACACACACACACACACACACACACACACACACACACACACACACACACACAAATGCTCTTAGATGTCCATCACCAGTACTGGAAGACAGAAATGACAACTCAGCTGGCTTCTGTATATAAACAACGGGTCTTGTTTTTTTTAGCAATATCATGTCTGTAGTGGGTCCTGAACTTATGTTTTCTGGAGGGCAGGAACATGAGAGGACCAGGTTGGGGAGTAAAAAAAAGAAAGGAAATACTTCCTTCATTTTCCATGAGTACGTAAGTAATTTCCTCTGCCCATACTTCACTCCCCAGTTTCCTGTCTGTTCAGTATTTAAACGCTTCAGTTAATGTTTGGACAATGACTGGGATGGCGGGAGAGGGGGAAGTATATGAGAAATCACGGATTCTATCAGGCACCCAATGGAGCTCAAAATCGTATGTCTGGAAGAGACTTGGCTGTTAATGAGTCCAAGACTCGTTAGAGACAGAAAAGAAGCTAAAAGGCAAAATAAGGCAAATAGCAAATCTGATGATAGAAGGTTAAGCACTTCTCCCCACAGTCTTCTCTTCTGAAGGCTAAACATGCCCAATTCTTTCAGCCTTTCCTCCTAGGGCTTATTTCCCAGTCCCTTGATCATCCTTGTTGACCTCCTCTGAACTTGCTCCAGTTTTTGAAGTGGCAGTGTCCAAAACTAGACACAGTACACAAGATGAAGCCCAATCAATGCCAAATAGAGGGGAATTGGTACTTCATGGGATTTGGAGACTATACATGGTAATGCAGCTTAAAACAGCGTTTGTCTTTGTTGCAACCACATCACACAGTTGGTGTGATGTGGTTGCAAGTCATAATTACCCTCCTGATCTAAGATTTCTAGTTCTTCTTGTTTGTTTCCCATACTCCTGGGATTTGTATATAGACACTGGAGATTGTATGATTCGTCTTTGTTGCAACCACATCGCACAGTTGGTTCATATTCAGCTTGTAATCTACAACCATTCCAAGCCAAGTATCCCCTATCTTGTAACCGTGCATTTCGCTTTTTCCCCCTTTGTGTAGAACTTTGTGTTTATCCTTGTTAAATTTCATTCTGTTGCTTTCAGCCCATTGCTCCAGCCTATCAAGATCTTTCGGAATGTTGTTTCTCTCTTCCAGGGATATTAGCTATTCCACCGATTTTGTGTCATGCACAAATCTGATAAGCGTTCCTTGCAGTTCGTCATCCAAGTCATTAATAAAAATGTTGAAGAGCAGCAGAGCCAGGACTGAGCCTTGTTTACCCCACTTGAGAAGAAGCCATTGATAAGCATTCTTTGAGTGCAATTCTGTAACCAACTGTGTATGCACCTGACAGTTGTTCTATCCAGCCCACAACTAGTTAGCGTGCTAATCAGAATATAATGAGGCACTTTGTCAAAACCTTTGCTGAAATGAATATATATTACATTTACAGCATTCCCACCATTGACCAGGGAAGCTACCAGATCCAAAAATGAGGTAAGATTAGTCTGGGAGAAATTGTTCTTGACAAATCTGTGTTGGCTTCTAGTTATTACTGCACTGTTTTCAAGGTGCTTGCAGAGTGACCACTTCATAATCTGCTCCAGAATTTTCCCTGGGATTGATGTCAAGCTGCCTCTTTGATATTCTTGCAATCTGTTTTTCCAAAGATTTCATCCACATCTTCTCTTTGATTGGGCAGTCGGTAGTACGACTCCAACTATCATGTTCCTTTTGTTCATTCCTCCCAATTATATTAATCCAGATGCTCTAGATGGGACCATCAATCCCATCCGCCTGTATTCTGTGCAGAAGTATGTATTTTTATTTTTGCCATATAGTGTTGCTCCACCTCTGTTTCTGTTCTTTCTGAACCATTTATATCCTTCAATTGCTGTATTCAAGTCATGGGAATCATCCCATCAAGTTTCGGTTATCCCCATCAAGTCATAATTACCCTCCTGAACTAAGATTTCTAGTTCTTCTTGTTTGTTTCCCATACTCCTGGGATTTGTATATAGACACTGGAGATTGTATGATTTATGTCCTGGGCTAAACATGCCCAGTTCTTTCAGTCTTTTTTCATGGGGCTTGGTTTCCAGTCCCCTGATCATCCTTGTTGCTCTCCTCTGAACTTGCTCCAGTTTGTCAGTATCCCTCTTGAAGTGGCTGTGTCCAAAACTAGACACAGTACTCAAGATGAAGCCTAACCAGAGCCAAATAGAGGGGGAATTAGTACTTCATGGGATTTGGAGACTACATATTAATGCAGCTTAAAACAGCATTTGTCTTTGTTGCAACCACATCACACAGTTGGTGTGATGTGGTTGCAAGTCATAATTACCCTCTTGAACTAAGATTTCTAGTTCTTCTTGTTTGTTTCCCATACTCCTGGGATTTGTATATAGACACTGGAGATTGTATGATTTATGTCCTGGGCTAAACATGCCCAGTTCTTTCAGTCTTTTTTCATGGGGCTTGGTTTCCAGTCCCCTGATCATCCTTGTTGCTCTCCTCTGAACTTGCTCCAGTTTGTCAGTATCCCTCTTGAAGTGGCTGTGTCCAAAACTAGACACAGTACTCAAGATGAAGCCTAACCAGAGCCAAATAGAGGGGGAATTAGTACTTCATGGGATTTGGAGACTACATATTAATGCAGCTTAAAACAGCATTTGTCTTTGTTGCAACCACATCACACAGTTGGTGTGATGTGGTTGCAAGTCATAATTACCCTCCTGATCTAAGATTTCTAGTTCTTCTTGTTTGTTTCCCATACTCCTGGGATTTGTATATAGACACCGGAGATTGTATGATTTGTGTTCTGATTTTCTTCATACATTTTTATGAAGACTATTATTGGGCCCCATTAGAGCTGTTTGGTCTGTTCCTTTTGAGTACATGCATATGTATGCCACCATTACATGTATATGTATGCCACATACCAGCGTGGAGGACAGCACAAGTAAAAAAGAACAGAATACCTAGAATTTATGCCTTTTTGTTGAACATTAAATTTTCCCCATTCCTGCAATTGGTTTAAAATATTTTTTCTCGGTGGCTCCCAGTTGAAATGTTTTCCACAAGAAGAGAGTTTTGTGCAGAATGACAGATGGGAGACGCATAGAGAGACCCAGTGGAGTAATAAAAAAATGAGAGTGAAAGAGAAGAATGGAAGGGAGGCAGGGAGAAATTCAAAGGCTGTGGAATATGGTGTCTCTGTACTGCCAAAATGCAGCTTAGTGCATTTGTTCAGAGTTCACATTGGGGGCAGTTGGAAGGGAATAGGAAGGAATGTGAAAGACTGCATGGGAGGCCTGCAACAGCTCCCTAATCAAAGTTAGCGGGGAAGAGCTTTAGGCTGTGACTACACTGCGAAGCGCAATCAGTCCAATTTGACTTTGCTGCAGTTTGATTTGCAGCCTGTATTACAGCTGAATTCGCAATCGGTGATCACGCAGGGACTGCAGATTGATTTGGGAGTTGAGTATTCACACTCAATGGCATGCAATTTACATTTCAGCCCAAAGTCCCCCTTCTTTCCTTCCTTCCTCTAGTCCCACCTCTGCCAATCCTTTTATGATTCACTGTCAAGCTACTTGATTTTGAAAGGGTTATACAGCATTCCAGAAAAGGTGGCTGCATCCCAAAGTTCTTCTTAACATATACAGAAATACCACATACCATAGGAAATCTTTTATTGCATCTGGGTTGTTTTGGCTTGGTTCGTAATCTTTTTTAAAACATTCTCATTTGAAGTGATCTAGCGCTAAACTAGTATATCATTACTCCTGATATGGTGATAAAGTGACCTAGCACTAATCTCATATGTATATATAAAGTCCCTGTCTTTACAAGAAAGAATCAACTAACCACATGGGGGAAAGTCCATTAAATCATCCTAGCATGAAGAAAAGGAGCAGCCCTCAGTCCTTTTTTGGAAGCAAAAATGGACTGGATCGATTTGAATTTACCTTTGTGTTGTATGATTGGGGGTGTGTGAGTGAAGAATCAACTCATACTATTTAAGTGCAGCAAATCTCATGGTATTTGATTGTGGAGTCACAGACTTAGTAGGGGACAATGCCTGGAAAAGTAAAGGAAATTTTAGAAGAACTTTGGGGTTGCGGGAAGACCTAGATGTGCAGGAGGAGACCTGGGTCCAAGAGCTTACTCAGCCACACACTGGATGGCCTGGCACCCTTCTCCGTCTTTGCTGAACCTACTTCACAGGATTGTTGTGCAAAGGAAGGGACAACAGCCAGGGAGGAAGGGGCCAGATGCACACAAGATCATGGAAGAGGATACACGTAGGTTGCCGAACACAAGAGGTCAAATTCTACCTCTAAGAGAAATGCTTGAGTAGCCTTTGGCATGTGACATACGCTAAAGCTTTCACATGATGGGAATGGGTGATACTCTACCTCCCACAAGGACAGCGGGGATGATGTTTTGAAGGACCTGCCATCCTGTCAGTGAAGACCTAATGGATGTGAACTCCTTATGGAGCCTTCTGTCCTTTGCCAGGTCATGCCTGTTTTTTTTTTCTACATTTCGCCACTGCAAAGTCATTACAGAGACCTTAACCTTGATTTTGCTTTATATTCCTTCACATACAGAGTTCTGTGTCACTTCAGAGTGTTTTAAATCCAATCAATATCATTCACGCCACCATGTCAGAACACCAGGTGGAACACAAGGTACCACTCCAGGGCACGCGGAAACCAGGCAGTGTCTGGAGGTTGTGTCCTGAGAGATAATCAAACCCACAAGTATTGTTTTCAGCTTGTGCCGGGTGCTCAAAGCGACTGGAAGCAGTGCAACCAAATTCCTAGCTTCGCACGCTTCATCTCTTGATTCTTGAACTGGCATGAGTGAGCAAAGAACATTCCTTTTACACCCTCACACACAAAGGATCCCACACCACTGGTGTTAAAAGAATTAATCAGGGGGATTTATTGAAGTATCAAAGGTGGTTAAAAGGCAGACATAGATATTTACATATATATTAACTTTCGGGCACAGGGGAAACAGTCTTAGGCTGCAGGGGTACAAGCCCTCTGCACACTTCCCGACCCCCAGTTATATATTAATTATTATATTTTTTTTCCATTCTTTTTTTTTTAATCTCCCCTTCCAAGACCTCAACAATATAAAATAAAAACTGCGAGCCAGAGACGGACACAGAATCACACATCGGTTGCTTCTTGTTTTGTTCTCAATGCCCCCCCCCCTGACAAAAGACAAAAGGAAAGGGGGCAGGCAAATTGGGGGGGGGAAAGGGTACAGAAGGAGCGAGGGCTGGGCATCTACTGGCACGAACGAGGAAAGTCGGCAACGTAGGAGGGAACCCACGCGTTGCCCCAAGGATGTGGGTGGATGTGGGAGGATGAGGTGGGAGTCCATTTTGACAACCCCCTCTGAGGGCTGAAGCATGAAACAGTGGGGCTCCTCCCCCCCAGGGTTAGGGGAGCATCTGCCTCTGGAGTGGTGGTGATGGTGATGATGGTGACGGTGGTGAAGCCATGTCCACAAAGACCACCCAAACGCTGCTGCCCCTCAAAGAAGTCACCACCACCCCAAGCAATGTGCTGTGGCCACCTCTGCAGGAGACGACGTGTTTGTAACAGTCACCACTGGGGACGTTAAGATCATTGAAGGGCAACCCAACCGAGCGCCGAGCGAGGTGCGCCTCTTAGCGAACCTCGCTTTCAGCTCTGCGTGGAGCGGGCGGTCGTGGCGGTTTCCAGTGGGAGACCGAGCGGCAAGGGAGCAGGGCCAAAAGGGTTTGCCAGCCAGGCCTGAGTTCCTTTGCTAGGATTCAGAGGCTGGAGGATATCCCCGCCGGCGTGCGCGGCAAGAAGGATGATTTCAAACCACCCCAGGGTCCATCTCCTTTTGCCAGCGACTTTAAATTCACGCCGCTTTAAAAAGAAATTGGGCTTTGGCTCAGGAGGCAACGCTTGACCGCCGAGGGGAAAGCAGGCAGACAGAAGCAGAGATGAGGATCCGATGCCCCCCGTGGGTGCACCTGTCCCACATCCCCTGCGCGCCCCCCTCCAGTCGAGCACGTCACAGAACACGGACAACAGAGACAGACAAGAGACACCCCTTTTCTCTTCCCCCCCTCCCTCTCCCTCCCCAAACTATCATGGCTTTGAAGGAAAACAAACCAAAGAAAAGAAAAAAAGAGTCCAACCTGCATCTTTAAGGCCCCCTTCTGGCTGGCCTAACATCAAGAAGGGTGCGGCCAAGAAGGACGAATGCCCTGAAGAGAACTCAAGACATCAGGAGACTCCCAGCCTTTGTGTCCTGCATCACACCCTTAGACCCAGCTGCCTGCCTCCCTCCCTCTATGATGGCTGGAAACAGACGCGAGAGGTCCTCGCCGCTAGGGTCCAAGGGGGAACAGAGTTAGCCCCATCTCCCTCGTCCAATACTTTTGAGACTCAGTGCGAATATTTGGGGGGGAGGGGAATTAGTGCTAACAAGCCGCTGTTGGCTCTCCTGGGCTGGGTCCTCTTTCTGACAGGGTCTCCCCACCTTCCCCACCACCACCACCACCACCCCGGCAATCTCGGCAGCCTCCGCCCCCCTCTGTGTCGTCCATCTCCCTACCTCCCCCAGGACCACTTCTGAGCTATTTACAAAGAGAGACACACACACACACAGGCGTCTCCAGTCACTCTGCTTCTCCCCAAAGGGAAAAGGGGCATGGCTATTTCCCCCCCACCCCCAGTTTCACAAGCAGAGCCTTATGTACGCATACAGACGCATCCCCTCCCCAGAGTTCATCGGGTGTAACTCTGGCGAAAAGGGCATGTTGGGGGGGTAAGACGGGGGAAGAGCAGCCCATGGCAGGAGGCGGAGCTTCATGGCTAGGGGCGGGGCTAAAGTCCTCGGTTTCAAAAATAAAACCGAAAAAGTGGTGGCCATGTGTTGTTTTTTCACAATGGATTTTTTTAAAGTGTTTGTCTTCCCCCCTCCCCATTTTATCTTTTTTTTAAATCTTTTTTTCCTTTTTCTTAATCCAACCCCACCCACCCCTTCCCAGCACGAGCGGCAACTTCTGTATAAATCTCTCCCCGATCCATTGCTCCCCCTCCTTGGCCGCTTCCCCCCCCCCACAACCTTCCGTCCCCAGCACCCCCATTCCCCTCCCGCTCCTCCCCAACGCTTAGATGAAGAATTCCTCCTTCCGTTTATGGCCATCACCACCGTTGAGAAAGGCCTCGCGGGCTTCGCCGTGTTCATCCAGTCCGCTTGCTTCGTGGGTCAGGTAGGAACCTATTAAATAAATAAATAAATAAATAAATAGATAGATAAACAAACAAACATACACACACACAAACATACACACACACACACACCCCACACATACAAGAAGAGAGGGGAGCAGGGATAAATGCTCAGCTAGACGTCAAGCCAGTGCATGGCCCGGAAAAGACTCCCAACCAATTCTTACAAGATGCTCCCATTAGCCTCACTATTTTTTCATTTTCTGCAACTAAGAGCTGGGCCTTCACTCTGCTGCCTTTTTGCAAGCGATCCAAGCCGGTCCATGACCTTCAGTCAAGCTATCGTGCAGCCTTCTTCGACCTGGTGTCCATTTCCAGAAGGGCTGGATGGTACCTCCCGTCTGGCCAAGCCATCACACACCCAACAGCTAATCCGGTTGTGAATGAGGGAAGAACTGATGCTCAAACTATGTGGTGGAAGAAAACAAGGGTTTGAAACCCATGACCCCAGGAGGTGGAGAGCGCTCCAACGCTGGAGGCATCCAAGAGGAAATTGGGACAGATCTGCTTCTGCGATGAGCAGGGGGTTGGACTCGATGGCTTCAGTGGCCCCTTCCAACTCAATCATTCTATGATCCTAATGGGAGAAAGGGAAACCAATCCCAACAGGATGCACCCACAATCAAAAACATGGTCAGGGATTCAGGATGGCAAAGATTTTGCCCTCCGCTAACTGCAGCTCAGGAGCCGTACTGCATCAGCATCATGAGTTAGATGGAATTAAAAGGAACCGAGGAGCCTAGATTTTCCTGGTGTTCCAGCAAGGATAACAACACAATAGTCCATGTTAGTTACACCATCGTAAATGCAATGTGTACACTGCACCAGCAAATTGCCACTAGTTAACGCGACACTTGCGTCCCTCGTTGTGCATCAGTCACATTATTTAGAGTATGACGAAGGGTGCAAGCTTCAATTCATTCACGATTGGCCATTCGCCGCTGCAATTTAAGCCATGGCACGCACGCCATGTAACAAACCAACAGGAGTCTGGCTGGTAAAGGGCAATGTAATGGGTGCCACGTGGGAGTTGTACTGTATTCATGACAACGACTAATCAGCTGTCCCCCAAGAACAAGTATACGGTGGTGTCCCACTTTACGATTACCCCGCATTATGACAAATCCGCTTCACGATGATGTTTTTGCGATTGCTTTTGCGATCGCAAAACGATGGTCTAAATAGGGTTTTTTCGCTTTGCGATGATCGGTTCCCTGCTTCGGGAACCAACTCTTCGCAAAACGATGTTTTTTTAACAGCTGGTCGGCGGCTTCAAAATGGCTGCGGGGTAATTAAAATGGCTCCCTGCTGTGTTTAGGGACGGATTCCTCGCTATACAGGCACCGAAAATGGCTGCCGTATGGACGATCTTCGCTGGACGGTGAGTTTTTAGCCCACTGGAACGCATTGAACAGTTTTCAATGCATTTCAATGGGCTTTTTATTTTCACTTTACGATGTTTTCGCTTAACAGCGATTTTCCTGAAACGGATTGTCACCATTAAGCAAGGCACCACTGTACAAATAAGGTCACAATCCATGTCCTGGTTCTTCCCTCCTGCCCTATGCCCTGCTGGTTCTTCAGTCACATCAGCACTCACCTTTCTGCCGGATGGAGCACCACACCATGACTATAAGGACACAGATGACGAGGAAGACCAGTAGAGCCAAGATGCCCCCTACGATGGCATAGGGCACCGACGTCTGGGCCTCCACAATAGCTCCAGGGTCTGCAGGAGACAAGACAAGATGTGGGTGGGTGTGGGGCAGGGAGTGGGGAGACTAGGAAGAGTTGCTCCTTAGTATAGAGGGTAAAGGCTCAGCTTCAATTGTCTGCGGCACCCTTCTCATGCAGGAGAGAACATCAGGTTCTGTAGCAAACATAAGCTCTCTGAAATTCAAGATAAAACCCTTCATGCCCAGCTAGGAAGAAGGACAAGTTTCTGGGTACCACGAACAGCCCCCTTTCTCTTGAATATTTCCTTGTATGCCAGAAAAGCATCATCTCAAGTACAAAGAGTTCAGGGCTGCTTTTCTCCCTGACATGCTAGCTTTCTGTGTTCAAGGTGTTGTTGTTGTTTTTTATTTGTAGGAGAGCAGAATATGGCAGTGCACAGAGGAAGAATCAGACCAGTCCTTCCCCCACGCGCAAAAGTGGTATGATCCAGAAACAAACGCCATTCCTTTTCCTGCCCTCGGTGAGCAGAGAGCGGACACGGAAAGTCATCGGAGGGGCCAAGGGCTGAACTACCGATAAGTTTGGGGACGGGAGTTTGGAAGAGCTGAGAGCAGGAGCGGGAACGGGTAAAGGCACGCGGGGAAGGGACCGTTCTTCCTTACCGTAAACCACCAGCACGTACTGGTCCGATGAGCGACCGTGCTTGTTGGCCACCTGGCACGAGTAGGTCCCGTTGTCCAGCATGCTGAGGTTGGGGATGGTCAGCACCTCACCCTCTATCAGGGCCCGCTCTGGCAATGAGTCGTTTGCCCGGCTCCATTTGATGTCTGTGGGGCTGGATGGCAAGAGACCAGGACGCGGGTCAAAGCGACGAGGACAAAGCTCCCTCGCTCTCTCCTCTGACCCTTCTGGCCGTCGTGGGGCACCCCCCGTCTTCACCCACCCTCCTCACCACAGCAACTTCCTCCCCTTCAAGGTCATTTGCAGCCAGCGCTGCCAAGCCCACTGATGGATGGCACCACGGAGCCAGGCAGCCGGATCAAGGGGCTTGGTAGTAATAACTCCGCTCGGGAATTGTATCCATCACTCAGGGAGAAGGCTACAGAGAGCCAAGGACAATCTGCCCTGACAGCAGCGTGGCCGAGAGAAATGCAACCAACTGAGGACGAAGCCAGGGGATCTTGAGGAACTGCTCAGCGGCGAAGGGAATTTCAGCAAGGGCTGGATTTTCAAGTCGAGAAAAAGCCCTGCTATTAAAGGTCTTTCACAACATCAACCATTCACAGGACAAGAGATAAATGCAACAGCAGACAGGTCGGAGAAGAGCAAGACGTTTTGAAGGAATAAACAAGGTTTGAAAGAGAGTTTGCTTCCCACAGAGTCTGCGCCTTCTGTCAACCCACTGTCTGTGGCCAAGAGGTACGAAGCAACACTGAAAATTAAAACAAGACCACGCCAAATCCTGACTGATGGAAGGGGAAAGTGTCGGGAACCGATTCTTTGCAAAATGACGTTTTTTGAAGAGCTGATCAGCAGTTTCAAAATGGCCGCCAGGTGATTAAAATGGCTCCCCGCTGTGTTTAGGGACAGATTCCTCGCTATACAGGCACCGAAAATGGCCGCCATATGGAGGATCTTCACTGGACGGTGAGTTTTTACCCCACTGGAATGCATTGAACGGGTTTCAATGTGTTTCAATGGGGTTTTTATTTTCGCTTTATGATGTTTTCGCTTAACGGCGATTTTCCTGGAACTGATTATCGTCGTTAAGCAAGGCACCACTGTACATATAGTTTATCTATTACTGCCCAAACATACACAGAAACAATCAAAGAAAAAATATTCTATGAGAGACATAAGCAGAAGTTAGACTGGGATCTACCAGGTCAGTGAGTGAGTGCACTAGATAAGCAAAGATGTTTGCCTCCCAGCTGTTTCAACACGATGAACAAAATACAGGCTCGATGCCCACCGACTGAAGCTCCTACTCTATCATCACTCAGAAGAAGGTTGGTACTCATTTACACAGGCTATTCTAGTTGGGCTGGTCCAAAGGATGTCGCAACAACAACCAGAAGGCAAGAGATTCTCTCTTCCCACACGCTATGGCCACCTCCCTGCATCCATCCATTGAGGCGTTTGCCTCACCTTGTCCAACGGTAGGACCGGCCCTGCACTCCAGCGTACAGTTCTTGGATAGCAAGGAAGACGGTTGATTCCTCACCTTGAGCTTTCAAGAAACACCCAATTCACATGCAGTCCTCCCCTGTAACGGCTTTTGGGTGAAAGAAGATTGTGTGTTTGCGTGTGTGCACGCACGCAGGCACGTGTGCATGTGTGAATTGTTGCTTTTCTTAGTCCACAAACTTAATCAGATTCAGTAAAATCATCTGTGAAACCATTCGAAATATGGCAAATATAATGCCTGATCTGCGCCATTTGATCTGGGTCACAAAACCAGCTTTTTTTCGGTGTCAGGTCTGGACTTTTAATTAATACATCTTCTTCAAAAGGCAGGACACCCATTGTTCTTCTAATCTGCTAGCTCCTCACACAAGATCAGACTACAAGGAAACCTTGAGGCCTGCGTGCATTTCTGTAGAAATCTACTGATTTTTTTTTTTTGCTCTCTCGCGTTCTAATTATATATCTTTCCCTATCCTGTGGAAATACTCACAGTGGGTTGCCATTGACAGCACAAGTCAGAATCAGGGTGTCTCCTTCTCGCATCACGCCTTGTGGAGGGTGGATCCGTGCTGTGGGTGAATCTGGGGGGGAGAGGGTGGGAAGAGACAGAATAAACAGGAGGCCAGAGAGCATCCTGTGTATGAAAATATCTATAGGCTGGGGAGGACAACTACAAACAACCGCATTTTCTTCAGATCCACAAGTGATTATCGCAATGGAATTAAGGTTTCAACCATCTCTGCTCCCAATGTACAAATACATATATTTCTCCCTTTTCTATTTTTAGTTCCTTAAGGGCCACCTCACTGGAATATGGTGTCAGAAAGAAATGTTTTCATGGCCAAGCTTGCATTTGAACCCGTTTCCTGAGCCCTACTCTTTCATCTACTCACTATACCACACTAGCTGTACAGTAGTACCTCAGTTTACGAATTTAATGAGTTCTCCGAGCCTCTACTTAATGCGAAAAATTCGTAAACCGAAATGCAGATTGCCATAGAAACGGGGGCAGCGCTCTAAACCTCGACACGCAATGCATCCTGGGGAAACTTATTTCGTACTGTAGAAAAAAGAAATGTAAACTGAGGCATTATTTTCAATGGACTTTCCTTCATAGACCGAAAATTACATTAACTGAGGCGTTCGTAAACCGAGGTACTACTGTATTTGACCTGGGGACCTAGAATGGAGTGATCATTTATGAATAAACAGTATTTATGAAGACTTTCCTTCATAGACCGAAAATTACATTAACTGAGGCGTTCGTAAACCGAGGTACTACTGTATTTGACCTGGGGACCTAGAATGGAGTGATCTTTGTACACCCAGTCCCATATCATGGAAAACCATTTTTAAAAATAAGTTAATTCCTGTTAATTATTATAGTATTTGGAAAGCAATTTGTTGCCATTACTTCTGATAATGTAACTTGCTGTGCTTCTCATTGTGCTGCACCTTGATTTTTCATTACTTTTTATTACATCTTGTCAAAATTCAGGGTTGGTGAGAGAACAGCATAAACTTTGAAGAATTCCCTTCAAAATGCTTGGAAAAAAATGGCCTAGAACCCCTTTAGAAGTAACTTTTAAACTTAACTAGAAAATGTTACTTACTGAAACAGAAAATAGCTTTGATCGTTGTAGTTTTTTCGGGCTCTTTGGCCGTGTTCTGAAGGTTTTCCTTCCTAACGTTTCGCCAGTCTCTGTGGCCAGCGTCTTCAGAGGGCAGGGGTTAGAAACTCTTGTCTGTGTTCTGCGTTCTAACTCCTGTCCTCTGAAGATGCCAGCCACAGAGAGGCCTAGAACCCCTTTAGAAGTAACTTTTAAACTTAACTAGAAAATGTTACTTACTGAAACATAAAATAGCTTTGATCGTTGTAGTTTTTCCGGGCTCTTTGGCCATGTTCTGAAGGTTTTCCTTCCTAACGTTTCGCCAGTCTCTGTGGCCAGCGTCTTCAGAGGGCAGGGGTTAGAAACTCTTGTCTGTGTTCTGCGTTCTAACTCCTGTCCTCTGAAGATGCCAGCCACAGAGAGTGGCGAAATGTTAGGACCGAAAAACCTTCAGAACATGGAGAAGCAGCCTGAAAAACCTACAACAACCATTGGATTCCGGCCATGAAAGCCTTCGAGAATACATAAAATAGCTTTATTCCCACTGCTAATAAATCCCCATGCTGATTGGATGGCTCAGTGGCTTTGCTATCTGGGTGTGAAGCCAGAGGTTGGGGGTTTGATTCCCCCATGGTTCCCTCCTGTGAATAGAGCCAGCCTAGGTAGCCTTGGGCAAGCTGCACAGTCCCAACACCACCATCAGAAAAAGGGAACGGTCAACCATTGTCAAGTATTCTATACCTGAGACACCCTGAAAAGGGTTGCTGTAAGTCAGAATTGACTTGGACGGCACATGATTATTATTAATAAATCCCCAGCAATTATTCATTACAGCAGCAAACTGCCTGAGGTTGGTTTTGAAATGTGACTTTGATGCACCTTTCTTGTTACCGAGAAAGGTAACTTGTTACAGGTAACTGCATTACTTCTAAGCCTTCACTTCCAAGCCATGCCCCATTTAAGGAAGAAGAAAAAACATACACATCATCATCATTTCTCTCTTGGGAACCGTCCTTTGATCCCAAGCCTGGCCCCTCCGCCAAATCCCTCTCCCCACGTCCTGCCCCACTGATGCAACCCTGCCGTCACTTACACTGTACATCTAGCACGTACTGCGTCTGTTTGCGCTGCCCGCGCAGCGCCGGGTGGGTCGCTTCGCACATCACGATGCTGCTGTGGTCCTTGCGCTCCACCCGGAAACGCACGACGTTAGTGACGCTGAAGACCTTTCCGTCTTCCTGCCTGCTGCTGAATCCTAGGAAAGGCACACGAGACACACCGGCCCCGCTGGTCAAACCCCACAGAGCACTTTTGTAGCCCCCTCTTTAACGCTAAACGAAGTAGGCCTGCCGTACTCTAGGGCTCTTTTCGTGCTCATTCTCTCTTTTTAATTTCCAAATTATATACAATTATAATGTTAACTGCGGCGCACTGAAGGATAAGAACGCATAATATTACACCTCCTTGCCTCCCACATTTGTTTAAGAACCTATACCTCACAGCCAAAAAGTACTGGGTGAAGTCCAGCATCCCCCTGATGAACTTAAGTGGAGACGCAGAAGGAACACCTGCATTAAGGCAAATTGCAAGAAAAAAAAGGATTTTGAAAAAAAAAACAAAAAAACACCATTCCACTTTTAAATATTTTACATGGGCGGGAGAAGGAGTAGGAACTCATAATTCAGAATTTGCCTATACTGTTCTTAAAAAGACATACGGACGCCGCCACAGCCACCCAAAGCATTTGGAATCACAACCTTTAGGACAGCCGGCTGGATAGCTCAACAGTTTCGGTATCTGGCAGCATAGCCAGAGGTTGGGAGGGTTTTTCCCCTCATTAATTTAAAATTAAATAAGATACAATATACCAAACCACCAAACCCCACATAGTAAGCATATCAAATGGTATTACTAGCTGACATAACACATATTTCCATAAATCAGCATGAGAGGCTGGGGGGGGGGTTCTAAGAGAATTGGTACGGTTATTACAATACTGGATAACAGTAAGCCAGGATTGATAAACCAAGTTTATACTGGAATCCTAGTAGTTGTGAGTGGGCAGTGAGTTCTTCCATCAACACGAATTTCCATACCATCGATTCCCAAATACAGTGGTGCCTCGCATAGCGAGGTTAATCCATTCCGGATTAACCATCGCTATGAGAAACATCGCTCAACGGAACAAAAAAACCCATTAAAACGCATTAAACTTGGTTTAATGCGTTCCAATGGGCCCAAAACTTACCGTTGAGCGAAGCTTCTCCATAGGGGCAGCCATTTTCGGGCCCTCGCAAAGCGAGGGCGCTGCGGGAAAAGTTGCGGCGGCCATTTTGGAACCGCCGATCAGCTGTTTTCCCCTGCTTCGTTGTGCGAAAATCGCTAAGCGAATTGCTTAGCGATCGTCGCACAGCGAAAAAACGCCATAGGGGCCATCGCTGAGCGAACGCTCCAGCGATGGCCCAGACCCCCTCGCTATGCGAATTCATCGCTCAATGGAGCGATCGCTAAGCGAGGCACCACTGTATTCACTGAGATAGTTCTGCAGCTGTCTTCCAGCTGTTGGTAGTTTTGAGACCCCCACGGTGCTTCCTAGGAGAAGAGCCAGCCTGTGTAGCCTTGGGCAGTCCCAGAGTGCCCCCAGAAGAAGGGAATGGTGAACAAGTCCTGATTATTCCCTACCTAGGAAACACCGAAAAGGGTCACCATAAGTCAGAATTGACATGGCGGCCCATTGGATTGATGGGAGAGAAACTCCCTCAAATGCAGTCTGAGCTGAGAAGAAGTCAGTGCCACCTAGAGGCAAATGCTTGTACAGTGGTGCCTCGCTTAGCGAGTGCACCGTATAGCAATGTTTCCGTATAGCGATCCCTTTTTCGGGATCGCTATACGGAAACATACCCGATCTTCGCAATGGGGAAAACCCGCATTGCGAAGATCGGGGATTGCGGCAGCCATTTTGATAGTTCTGCAGCTGTCTTCCAGCTGTTGGTAGTTTTGAGACCCCCACGGTGCTTCCTAGGAGAAGAGCCAGCCTGTGTAGCCTTGGGCAGTCCCAGGGTGCCCCCAGAAGAAGGGAATGGTGAACAAGTCCTGATTATTCTCTACCTAGGAAACACCGAAGAGGGTCACCATAAGTCAGAATGGACATGACGGCCCATTGGATTGATGGGAGAGACACTCCCTCAAATGCAGTCTAAGCCGAGAAGAAGTCAGCGCCTCCTAGAGGCAAATGCTTGTATATTCCACCCCTCGACTTCTAATGCCTTCCAACTAAAAGGAGAAATTGGGCTGGACAGAGGGAGATGCTCCTGGCTTGCACTCTCCCAGAGGCGTTACCTTTTAGCTCCTTTCTGTCCCGGTACCAGCGCAAGGTAGCAGCAGGGCGTGATCTGGGCACGCTGCAGGTGAGTTCAACTTCGCCTCCTTCCACCGCCTGTTCTTTCACCTCCACCATAGGGTTGTCAGGGGGCACTGTAAGAAAGAGCAGCTGGGTTAACAGGGCAGCTCCTGGCAGGGCCTCCTGGAATGCATCGGCAGCTTTACACTTGCATAAACGCCTGGATCAGCCTCAAAGGGAAGGAGGGAGGGAGGGACTCCCTCCTGAGAGACTGAGCTAGCAGGACAAGAGACGGCTTCAGCTGGATGGGTCCTGGCTTTCCGCAGGACAAACGGATCCTGGGAATTTCCATTTCATATAAAAACCAAAAAAACGGCCTTCCGGCTCTCAAGTGGTCACTTATGCCGAAAGAATAACATCTCAGCAGCTGTAAATGGGGCTGAACAGACTGTCACATAGTCAGGGGATGGTGTTTCAGGGCTGTGTTCAGATAGCTTGTCATCAACCTCCCCCACGAGCTTGAAAAAAGTAGAATTATGGAAAATAAGCACCTATTTTCTTCATCTGCACACTCCTTTCCAGAATGCCTGATTTGGTCTCCGGTAATGAAGACCTTGGAGCGCATTTCCCCCTTGGAAAATTATACGGCGCACTGATTTCAGCCAAGCTTGTATGGATTGCCAATACCTGGTTTTAAAAGATGCGCATGAATTTCTAACAACTGGATGGCAGATGGAGTAGCTCTTTGAAGGCGCAGCTCAGGCTTAGAGCACAGGCTGTCCCTGCAGATGACTGTGGGTTCAATCCCTATCATCTCTAGGTAAGGCTGGGGAAAATTTATGCCTGAAAGCCCAGAGAGTTACTACTTATCAATACAGAAGCTACTCAGGTGGAAGAATCCTCATCTCACTCAGTACAGTTATTTTCTCTTTAATGATACACCCGCTCTTCTCTCTAGGCTTTGGTACAGTTGGTGAGATGGGGTGGAGTGGAAGGCGGGGGGACACGACACTGATGTGAAGCAGCGTTTTTTGTACATCTGGTATCTAAGTCACTCGTCTTTCATTTTGGGGGAGGGATTAGCAGTGGATGCTGCACCAGACAGAATCCCAGCAATCAGTGGTTAACAAGAACTGGATCTAAAGCAGCATCCCTCTGAAGACAGAGGACAGGAGTTCCCGCCGCTTCAAAAGACATGCAAGAGGTTTTCTTGGCTGTCGTATTAGTGCTAAGGCTGGAAAGTGTCATAGCATGAACATAATTTTGTCCATGTATAAAGTGGTAGCAAATATAAGCCTAAGGTTTGGATAAGGGGGGAAAAATCCAGGAAATCATGGAAAAGAAGCAGTTGGAGCAGCATAAGGGGAACGTCATGTGGATGTCGGGGGAATCTGAATTGTGACCAGCGATTGATAGGGAAACAAAGGGATACAAACATCCTATTTTGGGAAAACCCTTACGGAGATGGACTTGAACAATATTGCATCCCGTTGCACTGTCTCCCATGGTGTGACAGCAACAGATCTACATCCTTGACCATGACTTTGTTCCATCCACACTCACAATGGAGGTGGAATACCAAGTTTTATTTGTGGACAACGAAGTTTGGGCTACCAAAGGATTGACACCTTTAGAACTACCCTATTTGCAGGTTTCAGTGCAAAGATCCTGACTAAACTGACAAAACATCTGAGGTCTTGTCACCTCCGGCAGTCCTTGGCGTCCAATCCCAATCATTCTAGTTAAAGGATCTGTAGAAAGCAAGTTAGATGATGTCCCCACTTCCACCCCGATTCTATGAATCTGCAAGAATTATTCCCTGTGGGCTTCCTTAATAAAGTGTCCAGGAATTGAAGCGATCCCTTTTTCAGTTGCTTTCCCGACCCTACAGACCAGCTATATGCTTGGAAGTGCGTATTGCGGCTGTGGGCAGGTGACACGCACCCAGCACGGTGAGGATCGCAATCTGGTGGTGCGTGTCTTCTGTGTACAGCTGGCAGAAGTAGCCGCCCTCATCCTCCAGGCGGGCGTTGGAGAGCACGATGCGGACCTGCTTCTGGGTAAACTCCATCAGCTGGAAACGCTCGTCTTTCAGAGCTGTAAGAAGGAAGACGTCTCGGTTATTGGCTGCTAAGAGAAAGGGAGCATAGGACGGAAGGGTGGGGACCCCCCAACCCCCCAACCCCACAAACACACACACTCACTGCTTTTCTTCTCAGTATCAGAGGATCCCACAGCTAGTGAAAAGATGCTTGATGCATTAAGCTGCATACAGTCACTTTTCCTTATGAGAACTCGTTAGGGTCAGCCCTACCGTTAGACAAAGGGAGGCAATGCCTTCGATTTGGAGCCCGCTTACCTCATGTGTCAAAGCATCGACGAAGCAGAGATGGGACACATTTGTGGCGTTTTGGACTACAATTCCCAGAATCCCACAGCACATATCTGTCATGCTGGTGGTAGGACCTCAGTGCGGTGTAATGGATAGAGTGATAGACTAGGATTCAGGAGACCAGGGTTCGAATCCCCAACTCTGCTATAGAAACGCTATATAGTAGGGAACTGGTAAAATTGCTCCTTAAATACCTCACTTATGTATTAGGGTTGCTGTACGTTGGTTTCGGCTTGACATCACATAACAACAGCAGGATGGCTGTGGGTTTCTGAGAAATGTTTTCCAGAAAAAAAACATTTTCCTATTTCCGCAATGAGGACATATTCAGCATGGATAGCATGCACTTTAGATTTCCCTCTCTGAATATACAAATTACCTTTTGTCACCCTCATAGCCTCAAACTGGCTTTTTAAAAAAATGTTTGGATTACGACGGATTCCCTCATTATTATCTCATCTGTTATTAGATCAGCAACATTGTTTGCTTGCTTCACTTATATCCCGCCTTTCCTCTCATGAGCTTCAAGAGGTATACATGGCTCTTCTGACCAGGTCACCTTCACAACAGTCCTGAAAGTTAGGATCAGGGTGAGAAGCAGCCAATGGTCTCAGGACACCCAGTAAGCTTCATGACTCAACAGAGTCCTGCGTCCCCCAGTTCTCAGTCCAATACTCTTACTACTACACTACAGTGACTCAGTCATAGACCAGATGGTGGTCTACGTGCTTGCTTGTACTCGAGAGATGAGGTTTTCTCACCCTTTGTTCTGCAAGCATTTCTTACACAGAACTTGGTGTCTGCAAACAATATATTTAGTTCAGGAGAGAGCAGAAGACCGACCTACTGGGAAAGGTGATGAATAAAGAACACAGGTAGTGGGCATGAATACTAGGAAGTACTGTATTTTTTGCACCATAAGACTCACTTTTTTCCCACAAAACAGGGGTGTGGAAAGTCTGTGCGTCTTATGGAGCTAAGAAAACAGATTATATTTTCCTGTTTTCTTCTCCTAAAAAATTGGTGCGTCTTATGGAGCGAAAAATACGGTAAATGGTGTCTCTATGGGTCTCTAGCCTCAGCACCGGCCCGAAAACAGACCCCATCCTCCCCAGAGTCTCGTTACCTCTTGTGCCATTGAAAAATAGCGTCTGGCGGGAGGGGTTCTGGATCACCACTATGGAGCCATCGTACTGGTGCAATTTGCAGTTGATTTCCGCCTGACCACCTTCTGCTACCGTCACGTTCTCGGCTTGGACCTCCTGAGCGCCGGCTAGCGTGGGGAGAAAGGGAAAAGGATGCGTTACTGGCACAGTCACTCAAAGGCGAGAGAAGATCAGGATGCAGCACAAGGTGGGGTTTGCCTGCGCCCTGTCTCAGCAACCGAGTTGGGATTTGCAATGGGTACGGTTTACAAAACAGTAAAGATGGACGCAGAAATAGCACATCCCTCTGTTCATAGCATACATTCTGAGCATTTTGGAGATTCCATTGGAAGTAGACATTCTTGCTCTTTAGAGGGTTATGAGAGCAAGAGAAGAGAGAGAAGGGGGGAGGGAGGGAGGGAGGGAGGGAGAAGGGTTGGAGGTATAAGTAAAAAGGGATGGCCTTGCCCACCTTCGGCTTTAGGCCCATCATCCTGTGGATGTTGGCCCTCCCAGAGCACACCCAAGGGAGTGCAACCCTACAGAGAAAAAGGGTCTCTCTCCCCACCCCGCTTTATATGTGAGAAAAAGTTGCAATGGAACGTCCAGACACATTTCGTAACAGTAAGAGGAAGGCCCCAAGCTAAAGATCTGGCTGGTCATTCCAGATCTCTCTCCTCGTGAGCTTATTTTTCTAGGTCCCCTCTAGCTCATTTGCCTTTTCTCCGTTGGCTTTCCTCTTGCAGCCTCTTCCTTCTCATCCCCACCCCCTCTTTTTTCTCCTGCTGAATCCCCACCCACCCACCTCCGAGATTACTTTCTTACCCTGTCTTTTTCCGCCCCCCCCCCGAGATTACTTTCTTACCCTGTCTTTTTCTTCCTTAAAATCTCTTAATGCAAAAGCTTCGCCCATAGCAAGTTGAATTCTCTCCGTATCTGTCCGGCCTTCTGGGACATCAAAGCAACTCAACAGGGAAACGGCCCCGGGCTACGAAACCCCAGTCCACTCCTTGCCTTTACCTCTGCTGTTTCATTAATGGACTATGACTAACCTGAGTTGCAATAAATGGGAGAGTATCTAATTAATCCAAGTATGTTTCGGTGTGACAGGGGGACACACCGTCCTGAGCAAACGGCTACCGCCTGCAGCCGAGTGTGGTTTGACTTGCTTACATGAGTCATCTGGAACTGGAGTTCTGTAATCAAGTTTTCTGGTTAACTGGTTTATCGAGAGCGTGCTATGGAAGACATGCATTTGGCGGCAAATAGGAAGCGCTCCCTGTCAAGCAGCCAAGGGCTGGAGCTGATGAGGTTTGGTCCCCTCCAGCAATGTATTAACAGTCCTTTTGTGTCATTAAAAGCAGTAACATGAAACCTTTGCAAAAATGAGAGAGAGAGAGAGAGACAAACCTATTATCTGACAGAGTCTGGGAGTAGCTTGAGGACTAGAATAAGGGAGTGTCTTATTCCAGGATTTCAGGGGGATGTGCTCCGTGCTCTGTCATCAGGAGCCATCGATGACAAAGTCAGAAACGACAGGATATTGTGTTAAAATAAAAGCTAATCAAACAAAGCATAAACAGAGGAAGGAGGGAGTGTCCTTCCAACACACGGGCATTCAGGGTGGATGAGGAAGAGGAAAAAGAAAGACGAGGAGCAGGAAACATCAGGATATATATATATATATATATACCACACACCATCATCATCCACATCATCATCATCATCATGTGCCATTAAGTAAATTCTGACTTCTGGTGACCCTTTTCAGAGTTTTCCAGGTACAGAGTACAGTGGTGCCTCGCACAGCGAGGTTAATCCGTTCCGGATTAACCCTCGCTGTGTGAAAGCATCGTTGAACGGAACGTAAAAACCCATTGGAACGCATTAAACATGGTTTAATGTGTTCCAATTGGGCCGAATACTCACCGTTCAGCAATGCTTCAGGATGGCCGGCAGCCATTTTCACGCCATCCCCTCGCTTTACGAGAGCGCGAAAACGCTGCGCGTGGTCATTTTGGGGCTTCCGGCGGCCATTTTGTAGCCGCTGAACAGTTGATCGGCGGGTCGCAAAGCAAAGGTCGGTAAGCGAACCGCTTACCGACCTTCGCTCTGCGATTTTCGCCTATGCAGGCACCATTTTGCGATTGCATTTGCAATCACAAAACCGGCCTCGTAGAGCGAATTCATCGCTTTACGAGGCACCCGTTGTGCGAGGCACCACTGTACTCAGGTTTTCCATTCCTTTCTTCTGGGGGTGTCCTGGGACCGTGTACAGCTGGCCCAGGGCCACCCAGGTTGGCTCTACTCATCGGGGGGCAAAACGGCGGAAATCAAACTCCCAACCTCTGGCTCTGCAGCCAGATACTTAAATCACTGAGCCAGCCAGCCAGCTATGCCACATATAGTACCTTTCTACAATTGCCTGTATGGCCTTAGGAGATTCCAAGCATCGCAGCAGGGTGGCAGATTTATTTATTTATTTATTTCTAGTCCTTATCATTCCCCATTCCAGCCCGAGGATGCACGCCGCACTGCAAATTAAATAAATAAATAAATAAACAAACAAACAAACAAACAAATAAATAAATAAAGGCAAACATAGGTTCTCTGTATTTGGTATGAAAACTAAGCACTCCGGATCAGATTTATATCCTTTCTTTCCCACAGAGAGCCTTCAACACTGCGCCGAATGAATGCTAAATAGTAAAGAGCCAAGTGCTAATAGATTTAATAAGATTCAAAGGTTTATAAGTATTATCCCCGTTACAAAAATGCCAAGAGCTTCGCACTACGCCGTCTACGTACAGCCCTGTACAAGACAAGCTTTACATAAATTCAGCTTTACATTTAACACTTTACCCACTCTATTAACTAAATATGTTTTGCCTTCTCTTTTCTGAACCAGGAGGGTGATTATAATCTGCTCCAAGTGTGGCGAGGCAAGATGTTCCGACGGATGGGAGCTTATCCGATGAAGGTAGTAGGGCTGGGCCAAGATAATTTGCTGCCTGAAGTGAAGAATGAGACATGGCACTACCCAGTGGGATACGCCACACGTACAGAAGCTGCTTAGAGAGGCAGCCGAACAGATTCCTCCTAACTTGCACTTAAGGTTTCGGGGGCGGAGATGTGGGGCAGGGAGGCAGGCTGTGGAAACACGGAGCTACGTCCTCCAAGTGGAACAAGCCGAGGACAACAACCTGAGATGGGCATGAACCGAACTGCAAACCAAAAAAAACACACGATAAGCTGGGCCGGTTCGTGGTTCGTGGATCCCGTTTTGTTGGAGCAAACCAAAATGCCAAACTTCTTTCCCCTTGGCGTTTTGTTTCGGTTTGGCAAAATGGGATGGCCCACCTGCCCACTTCCCCGGCCACCTGGCCTCCTGCTGCCAGCCCACCACGGCCGCCATCTCCTCCCCAGATGCCATGATCCAAGGCAGTGCTCAGCGCTCCTTGCAAGAAACCCAATTGCTGGCTTGGAGCTTGACCCAGGAGGAGAAGGAAGTGGCGGTAGCCGTGGCACAACAGCAGCCGCGTGGCATGAACAAGTAGCCGTCCCCCATTGGGGCAAACCAAAAGCTGAATCGTGAACCGGTTACGTTTTCCAGTGGATTCGCAGCAGTCTGTGGTCAACCACGAACCGTCACGAATCACAATTTTTTCAGGTTCGTGCCCATCTCTGACAACAATTCTAAGAATGTGCTAGCAATTGTCGCCTGCAAAAGTAACTTTCCCCAAACTCCGAATACATCGGAATGCGCCACTTCTCGGCGCATTCTCCAGGCAGAAATGTTGCTCTGCCATGGCTTCGTCCCAGCATGCCTTCTGCCAGTTACTCTATACCTGGAAAACCCTGAAAACGGTCACCAGAACTCTGAATTGACTCAACGGCACATCACGAAGATGAGGATGATGTGTGGTGTAGATATAGCCTAATGTTTCCTGTTGCAGCAGCATTTCCAATCACCGCACAGGTTCTGCGCCCTTCTTACCGCGCCCTTCACGCCACTCGTTCCAGTCTGTGACCACCAGCTTTTCTTTGCAGGAGACAAACACTTTGAATACCACAGCCACTAGGGGAGGGCGCCTCAGGCAGTGGGTATCAGGTGCCAATAAATGACAACAGAAGGAGCGGGCAGACAAGTATCATCTCCCCCCCCACCGCTAAATTCACTGGGATATTTTCCTCTACAATGCACACCGACACAAAGACACAGTGCAGAAGGAGGTTTGTAGTGCACGTGACTATTCCACCTCAGTCTTTCATTCATTTATTTTACTTATTTAAAATATTTTTGCCCCAATCTTTCTCCTTAAAAAGGACCCAAGGCGGCTTTGCATCATTAAAAAGACACTATTTAAAAGCTTAAAACCAGCAAGTGTACAAATATTTAAAAAGAATTAAACAAACACCATATTAAAATGGTAAATAAAACCAATACTCTAAACACATTTAAAAGGAACAAGGCCCAACGATCCATTAGGAAATACAACAACAACTCTCAGACAGCCAGTTACACATGACTGCCACCATATCAATGTTTAGATTAGCTATGTGTAGATTAGGCCTCAGAACTTAAAAAAAAAAAGAGTTTACATCACTGTGTAAACTAAATTATGCCTTTTTTTAAAAAAAAATGTCAATTCTCCAAGCCGGCTTTCTGCACTGGTTTAACTATATCAACAGATTTGCGAAACTTGTCGGTTTCAAAAAGGAATTTGCATAGGGGTGTTTTCCCTTGCTTCTGTTATTTCAGTTTTGGCCCCAAACTAGTCAACACGATCCAGAGGCATAAGGAGGGTACGTGTCCCATAAGGCCCCGTGTGCGTTTTTGTACGTCTGCCTTTCAGAGAGGTCTCCAAGCAAGAGAGAGTCGAAGAGTGACGTGAGGAAATGCACAAGCAAACTCTCCCAGGTGCAGAGAGAAAAGACGACAGAGGCGTACGCCAAGACACACTGAAAACGCCCACAGAAAAAGCACATCCATAAAAGGCACCGCAGCTTCCTCTCTGCTCAAGTGCAGCCACATGGGATGTTTATTCCCCCCCCCCACCGCTCATCTCCAGCGATTCCTGAATGCTGTGCGTGCCACCTATGCAACCACCCACCCTGATCCTCCCAC